CTCTGCTCAAGTCCCAGTCCCAAAGGACTCCCCAGCATCTTTGAACCCAGATGCTTAGGCCACAGAGCTACATCCCGAAGTGCCATGTGCGTAACTGTCATGCACATTTTCTGCTAATAAAATTGTTCCTTGTATCAAATTGATTAGCATTTTACGGTGCCCCCAAAGAGCACTGACATCTGGGGGTTTCTTCCACCCCACACATTTGAGAGCCACAGACTGTCACAATTAGTTGAAGTTTCCTTCCCAACCTTCCAAGACCCCTCAGCACCAGGGCCCCATCTCCCACATTCTGCCCCCATACCCTTTCTCAGGCTCACTTCTGCCCATCCGGTATCTGTCTTCACTCAGCCTGTGGCCACACAAACCCCTTTCTCCTCTCTGCTTCCCCAAGCCCTGCTCTGTCTCAAAGCTCCTTCCTCCCTCCACAAGCAGTGAAGCCCTGCTCAGTGCCAGGCCTGGAGCCTCAGCCCAGCCCTTGCAGAGCTCCTCGTCTGGAGAGACAGAGGCAGCCAAGTCAACACCTGCTTGTAGTGATCACAGCTAAGGTGCCAGTGGCTTGCAGTGCCAGAGTAAACAGTTACACTCATTATGTCACTTATTAATTCATTTATCCTCTCTAGAATCTTACATGGCAGTTACTATGATTGTCTCCCTTTACCAGATAGGCAAACCGAGGCACAGAGTCCAAGGTCACAAAGTGAGTCCAGGTGAAGCTGGGCTTTGAACCAGATGCTCAGGCCAGAGCTTGCTTTCTCAACTGCCCCGTACTATGAACAGATAGAAGCATCTGTTGGAGTCCAGAGGGAGGAGTGACTGAACCTGCCTTGGCGTCAGGGAGGCTTCACAGAGGGGAAGACAACTGTGCCAGACAGCTAGGCAGAGGTGGTAGCTCTGGGCTGAGAGCACAGCAGGACTACAGTGGGGCAGTGGGAACACAGTGAGGGCTGGTCCTTCAGGGTGCCTGGGCTGGGTTGGGGGTGTCAGAGAAGGGCTGCTGGATCTGTAGGGCTTGAGATCCCTGGCTGAGGAGCCTGTGTGTAGCCCTGTGGGCAGTGGGGGCATGGTCGGGAGTGACCTTGACAAATCCCTGTGGCTACCCCTCACCCTGGGAGGCTGGAAAGGGGAGGGCACAGCCCCCTGGTAACTGATACTCCTGCACTCACTGTGGGATCTTAGGTGATGACTAGGTCTCTGAGATGCAGTTCCCTCTTCCGTAAAATGGGCAGAAATGCCACCAGCCTCCTGGCGTTGCCAAAGGTTTGAGCAAGCTCTTACAGGGAAAGGTGCCCAGCAGAGCCAGGCGCTGGCAGGTGTTAGGAAGGACAGCCACTGTCATCATGTCACTAAGGGCCAGCTAGAGGCCAGAAAGTCCTCCCTGAGAAGGAAGCCTGGGAGGTTGGGCCCTCATTCTCCTTGGCATGCAGCCCGCTTTCCTCCAGTGACCTGTCCAGGCCCTGAGGTCAGATACTCACCACCACCTCCAGGTCAGAGTTCAAGTGCCGCTGGGTGTCCGACATCTGCACCAAGATCTCACCTGGAGGCACAGACAGCAAAAGCTGTCACTTTAGCCTGGGGGGCCTGCCCTGCCCTCCCTCTTCTACCAGAAGCCAACAGAGGGCCTGCTGAGGCTGGGTCTTGGGACCAAAGTCCAGGAATATACCACCTGGCTCTCAGGGACTCGGGCCAGCTGTCTCAGCCTTGCAGTACCCCTACAGGGAGTGGGTAGGGAGGGGACTGGGCTCCAGGAGTCTGGGGTCTGGGCTCTGAGCTGCAGACCAGTGTCAGGGGAGGGAGGCAAATGCAAAAGGAACTGCTCTGGCCCCCACAGATGGCTACTAATGGGCTCTGGGCAGAGGAGAAGACTGGGGGGTGGGGTGGGCTAGGAGGAAAGCTCCCAGGCCCAAGAAGCAGGTACAAGGCAGGGGGGGTGCCTCACCTAGAATCTGTGAGGTAGAACTCTGCAGGGCCTGCTCCCCGATCTTCTGGATGGCACTGAAGTATATCTCAGCTGCCTCAGACAAAGCTGCAGGGCAAGAAAGGACAGCTCCAGTCCCAACCTCCATCTGCCCTCCCTCCCAGAGACTCCCCCTTTCACCCGAGGTGGGATATCCTATGGGGTGTGTGGAGGCGAGGCATGGGACAGAGGAGAGCAGAGATGGGCGTAGGACACGGTAGGGGCTCCCTTTGCAGACAAGCTGCACCCAGCCCAGGGCCAGGTGGTGATGGGACCTCAGTGAGCCCATGGGGCACCTGTGTGCCCATGAAGAGGGTGGCCAGGAGAGCTGAGGGCATGGAGAAGGTAGGCTTTGACTCTGAGGTCCTAAGAGGCAGGGGGATGGGTGGCTCTTAGCCTTGGGGTTGACAGCTCTGGTGGAGAGCACATTGCTGGGAAGTGGGGGTGTGGACAGGACAGGTGAAAGAATTTGTGTAGTGACTGAGATGTAGTGAGGGCCAGCTGCAGGATACATGGACAGGTGGCCAGTCGGAGTGAGGCTGGGGGTGCAGTGGTGGGCCTGGGGATGGGAGTGGGTTCAGCAGGTGGCATTTAAGTGACACCTAGAAATGTGTGCATTTTGGGGGGAGGTGTGCTGGGGGAGACTTGGGCACGTGTCTCAGAAGTGTCTGTGGCACCTGAAGGGCAGATGGTTAGGACTGGGAGTATGAACTGGGATGGGTGGGCACAGGAAAGTGGGGGTGTGTACGTAAGGCCTCTCTAGCTGTAGGGGCATGAGGGTGAGAGTGGTTGGTGAGAGGCACAGGGCTGAGGATGAATGGAGGTCCTGGCAAATGGCTATAGTGTGGGCTGCAGGTTGGGGGGCATTGGTGACCGCATGGAGGGGCCTAATGGGTGGGGGCTGTAGAGTCCCAGGGGCTGGGTGTCCTGAGGCCTGGGGAACTCACCATGGAAGGCCCGGAGGTAGTTGTTGCCCAGGTACACCAGGTTCTCCAGGGCGGGGTTAAACTGCTCCATGATACTCTGGACCCCAAGGGCAAGGGAAGGGAGGAGAGGCATGAAGGTGGGAGAAGGTGTGGATAGAGCTAAGTTGCCAGGACTCAGAGGCAGGGCACCCCTAGCCCCAGTGAAAAGCCTCCAGACCCTGGGAAGCCCACCTTGCAATCAGGGGTCACCCAGAATCCTGGCTCTCCACTGCAGAGGCCTCAGAGGCCATCTCTTGGGGCCCCATTCCAAGCCAGAGTCCCCTTGCAGGCAGCTCCCACTCACACACCTGCCCTGGAGGAAGCTCAGACCCTCCCAAGATGGTGCACTTCAAAGGTTCTCCTCTCAATGGGCTGAAGCTTGTCACCTGCCTTGGCCCCCACTGGGCACTGTTCAGCCCTGTGTGTGTCCAGGCCCCACTGGGCTACACACACAGGGCTGCTGCTGACAGTGACCTGAGGGTAAGGGTAAGTCTTGCTCTCTTCAAAGGGCACCTTGGGAGCCCGGCTGAGGCTGGGTCACCACGGGCTACCCCAGACCATGGCAATGTGGAGAGCTCCCTGGGTAGTAGAGACGACCCTGGACTTGGACTTGATTCAAATCCCAGCAGCACTTCCCTTCATGACTTTGAATGAACTTAACCTTACTGGTCTGTTTTCTCATCTATCAAATGGGATGATTATTTTCTACTTGTCAGGTGGGGGGATGTGAGTGAGGCTTACACATGAAAGGGTGCTGCATACAGGAGGTGCTTGGTAAATGTCTATGGAGATTGTTGCAATCACTCTAGAGGTGAAGTAGGAAGTCCGAGTAAGGGCTCAGAAATGAGAGAGTCCCTACTGCCAGGCTAGGCGGCCAGCTGCTTCCCTGGACTCTCACCTCTCACACCCACTCTGCCTTGCCCAGTGTTTGGGAGTTGGGGGTCCTGCTGAGTGCGTGGCTGGCTGCTCCAGGTGTCCCACCCCTATGACCACTGCTCAGCCCAGCCTGGCTCAGGGCCCCAGAACACCTGCAGCCTGACCTCTGTGCCCCAGGAGGTGCTCCAGCCCTGGGCCTGGGTGCCCACATGCTCACCTTGTAGATTGCCATGGTGGATCTGTAGAACTGGTCCATCTCGGGGGCCATGGAGCGGCTGTAGCCAGTCTAAGCAGGAGGTTGGGAAGTGAGAGCAAAGGCTGGGCTGGGAGCACTGCAGGTCGGTCCCTGCAGGTGTCCACTGTTTCTTGGGCACCAAGGAGGCTACAGGTGGGACCTGGAGATGGAGGCCTGCCTCTGCGGAGGTGGTAGCTTAATTATTCACCAGCTGGGGATGTCAGAATGTGATCTGGGGCGTAATCAGACCCGGCGGGGAAGGCATCCTGTGACGCGGGTGGGTTCGTGTGACCTGCCCTTCAATTATTTACTTCTCGGAGCCACTAGCTGCTGGGCACGCGTGGATGGGCCACTATCCCAGGTCACTGCTCCTTAAGGACCCCTGGCCCAAAAGCCCCTACCCTCCTGCCTGCCTATTGGGCTAAAACTGCCCAATATCCCCTCCAGGACCTGCTAGACCCAGTGGACGCAGCCCCTGGAGGGAAACACACTGATGGCTCTCACTGCCCTCATGCCTAGCGTCCCTACCTGGAGCCCCTCAGCCTATGCCTCAATGAAGGCCATGTCCTCTGTGGCCCCCATACCCACCCCAGCCCACCCAGCTCCTGTGTATGCAGAGGGGGGCAGGACAAACCTAGAGTCACCCAGACTTGGGGGCAGACCCCCACTTTGCTTACTCACTGTCTGATTGTGCCTAAGTCCCCTGACTCTCTGGGCTCAAATAGGCTTACCCGCAGCTCCCAGGGCAAGGACTGAGGCCCCCTAGGGCCTGCCTGGGGTACATGGGGCTGGCAGCTGCCTCTGAACACCCTAAGGGCCTGTTTGGGGGGATTCTGGGAAAAATAAGAGGTGCTCCTGCCCCAGGGAGCCCAGAAAACAAAGTGTCCAAGTGGACAGACAGGTCAAGGCTGATGGTCATGAAGAAGGAAAGCTGGGGGAGGGGACAGCACACACAACACAGGTGAACTTGAATTCAAACCGTTTATTTCACAGTCTCAGGGCAGACCCTGAAGCCTCACCCTACTCATAAACCCCTTCCATCAGGAAAGATTACTTAATTTCTAGGAGTGACCTTTGAGAGCTGAGGCAGTTCTCAGGGTGGGGCGGCCCTGGGGGGTGCAGCAGCTGGGCAGTGTGGAGGGGCAAAGTCGAACGGGTGTGCTGCTCCTGCAGCCCAGGCTTTCCCTGTAGATAGTGTGGGGGACGCACCGTTTCTCTACCCCAAACCCCAGGGAATAGAGCAGAGGGTAGAAGGGGTGGGCTGTACCCATCAGGGAACCTGGAGAGCCCCCTGCTTAAGGCTGGGGCAGAAAGTAGCCTTAGCAGGCCCTCTGGGAGGCCGGGGTGCCCCAGCACCCTTAGTGTTTAGGCTGACAGGGCAACCCAGTTGTCCTTCATAGCCCAAAGGAGGGGTAGAGGGGGCTCTAGACTTTCTAAGCCTGGAATAACAGAAAGCACTGGAGAGTGGGGTTGGGGGAGAGAGGTCTTCAGGACTAGCCTCAGGCAGGCAGTCAGCACCTCCAGTCCCAGTCTGTGGACGCAGAGCTGCCTAGGCCCAGACCTGCCCATTGGTGCAGTGCTTGGTCCTCCCCTGGCCTCCCCAGCAGGGGCTGGAAGGGTGAATGGGTGGGGTGGGACAGCTGGGGGTCTGGTGGCCTCACGGTGATAGCAGCAGCTGGATGAGCTTCTGGAACTCTTCCCGGTGCTCATAGATGTAGACCTCAGTCTCCCAGAGGGCGTTGACCAGCACCGTGTCACTAACCTCGTCCAGCATGATGTCTGTCCCCAGCTGGGGGTTCAACCTGTCCAAGCCAAGGGGAAGGGTGTCCCTATGATGCTCAGCCTGAGTCAGGGACCAGAGCTAGGACTGGGGTGGGCTTGGGACCAGAGCAGCTGCTTAGGGAAAGAGAAAGTCCACACCAAAGGCTAGAGGGAAGGGCGATGGGCCTGACCAGGCCAGGGCACCGGGCTGGGGCCAGGGCTGCTGAGACCTCACCTGAAGTACTGGATGCTGACCATCTCACACCAGGCCCGGGCCCGGTCCACCGCCCGCCCGTCTGGATCTGTGCACTGGTGAGAAGCAGCATTGGTGAGCCCTGCCCACACTCAGCGCTGCTCCCATGGGGTACCCTGGGGTTCTAGTCAGGCTTGGCCACTCGGCAGCAGAGTGACTTTGGGCAAGGTCCCCTTCTGGGGCTTCAGTGACTGTCCCAGCTGTGCAATCAGATGGGGAGAGGGCTCAGCACAGTCCGTTTAGGGTCAGTGGTGGGGCGGCAGCAATGAGTGCACAGGTCTCCATGTCCTCTCCTCACTGGAGCTTTTGTGTCTTATATTCTGGGTTTTTGAAAGGGATCTACAGCTAAGTAAGTTTGAAACCTCCTCCCCCCATAGCACATCACTAAGGGTCCCTGCACTGAGACACTGAATCAGGAACTCTCTCTTCCAAACTGGCTGAGGAAGGTGGACAGAGCCCTGTGGTCTCCTCAATACCCAGGGGCCCATGGGGTAGGGTGCAGGCATCAACCTGGGGTTGGGGACAGTTCACACTCACACAGTCCACCACCATCTTGCCCAATTCCTTGGCCCCAAAAACAGTCTTGGCCAGTTCCCAGGGATTGCTGGGACGGAAGACGTCTACACAAGTCACAGGTACCTGTGGAGATCTCCCTGTCCCCAGAGAGACGACGATGGAGAGTTTCTTTACCTTGTCGCCCTGACCCTGTAGGAACCGGACAGGGCAGTCAGAGAGGACCTTCTACAGGTGAGGGCACCTCAGGGAGGGTCAGGATCAGAGAGAGGTGCAAGGCTGGGCAGTCAGGTACATGAGGACAGGGAAAGAGGCTGCTGGTGGCAAGAGAATGCCTGACACTAGTCCCAGCCCAGTGCCTTACAGGCAGGGGTCTGGCCATGGCCTCTGAGCTACAGCCCTTTCCCCCAGAAGGACTGGTGTGGTGTCATGTGCCATCTGCTTGGGAAAGCATCTTGTGTACCAACAAGGCCTGCACATGCACCACCCGTGAGAATGATCCGTATGCCTGTCTACTCCTGGACTAAGTCAGGTGGTGGCCAGGGCAAGAAAGGGAGGGAAGGTTCCTTGGCTTCTGTTATTTGCCAGGTGTCTGCATCATTATCTCATTTAATCCTCCAGCCAGTCTGTGGTGAGGGCATCTGTTACCCCCTTCACAAATGAGGACTCTCAGCAAGGCTGGGATGGGGGAAAAGGCTTGCGGGGCCACGGAGCAAGGACACAGGGCCTGAGGCTTGAACCCCAGGCCCCGGCCACTGTAGCTCTCATTTGCTCTATCAAACTCTGCTGCCAATTTGCTGGGTGACCTTGGGTGAGTCCCAGGCTCCTCATCCACAATGGGAGACTGAGACTATAGGGTGTCCTGGGGGCCCTAAGTCACCTGCCACCTTCAGTAAGCCCACCCTGCCTGGTGCTGCCCCTCTAATCACACACTTACAGGTGATACCACGTTGAATCCTCCAATACCCAGACAGGTACTATTGTTACCCCTAATGGGTAGGCTGCTTGGCTCTAGAGCCTGGGTTGGCAGGACCTTGGCCACCTCTGCTCTAACTCCTCAGGGTGAGGGCTGCTTCTCTTCTTCCCGATCACTGATTCTGCACTGCCCTATCCCCAAAGGTCTAGACATGGATCCTCTTCTAAGCCCCCAGGGCTCTCAGCAAAGGTGATCCTCCTCCTAGGCCCAGCATGGTCCTTCACCTTGGTACCCAGAACACATTGGAGGCATGTCCTTGGCTATGGGCTGTCTCTTCCCTAGATGTGAGCACCACAAGGGCAAGTGCATGTCCCCAGGCTGGCCACAGAGTGGCACATGAGGTACACATGCTACCTTCCCCTCAACAGACTGAGTGCAGACTGGGTCTCAGAATCCCCCTCAGCACATTGCTTCAATCCAACAGGTTCAAGTGTGGGATAAAATCACTGTTGCGTCAACGAATGAGCAGGAGTAGCAGCCACCGGCTCTCCTGGGAGCTGATCCCTGGGATTGCTGAAACAGGGTTGGCTTTGCTGAGCGCTGCTGTACAGCGACCTGAGATGGCACTCACCTTGCGGATCAGGTCCTGGTTGTACTCGTGGATCTCGGTCATGGCATCCAGCGTGGGGTTGTTGGCCAGCAGCCCGCCATCCAGGAAGCGCCCGTTGGGCCGGAAGTAGGTGGGGGCTGCCCCACTGCTTCGGGCTGCCCTCCATACGAGCTGGTCTGTGAGGAGGAGGGGGACAGAGGCACAAGGCATAGACCTCAGGGTGTGCGTGGGTGGAGGGAGTGGGGCTTCAGGATGAGAAGGAAGCTGGGACTGCTCAGAATAGCCCCTTAACAGGCCATGCTATCTGGCCCAGTCGTCTAGGTGGAAGGCAGGGTGCAGCTGAGAGCCCCCGTGGGCCCCTCTAGCCTGATTAGTGCCCCAGCAATACCTGTCCCCAGCCAGTAGAGACCAGGGCAGTGGGTGGGCTGGTGGCAGTGAGGGTGCAATTACATGCCTCCTACCCACCACCCCACAGCTGCTGGGGCCAACTGCTTCCCATGGATGCATCAAACGCGGTTTTAACCTGAGGGCAGAGTTGGAGGCCTTAGGTTAACATTCTGGCTAAACCGAGGCTCTCGTATAGATTCTGGAGCATCATAATTTCGGAAGAGGTGGAGTTCAGCCGGCTGCCGGTCAGATAGTGTCCCTGTCAGCATCACCCTGAGAGAAACAAAAGAGGACACCTAACCCGCTGGCCCACCTAACATTCATGCTCAGGCCTTGGGCAGCAGAATCCCACAGGCCCCCAGGGCTCCCCTCTGTTCTGGATGGGTGAGCATCTCCCCCAAACACTCTCTCCTCCAGGGCTGGAGGAGTGTCAGATTGAGGCCAGCTCAGAGGGCAGTTTAGCAGTCTTTGTCCAAACTGCTGAGGGGCTTATCCGTACACCCAGGGATGCCACTCCTGGAATGCATCCTAGGGAGCTGTCACACTGAGGGAGACAGGCTGAGCAAGGCCGCTAACGGCAACATTGGTTATTACGGCAAACACTGGGAAGGATGGAACTGTCCACTGGCAGACAGCTCAGTACAGCACGGCCCACATACCCAATGGGGTCTGTGTCATGCAGAATGACTGAAGAAGTGAGTGCTTTATGTACTGATAGGGTATGAATGCCAAGATTACAATTATGTGAGAAATGCAAGGTTCGGGACAGGGTGTGCAGTACACCTCCATTTATTTAAAACACAAAAGCTTGGTCAGAGGGTAATTCTGAAAGGACCCATGAGTGGCACCTGGCAACAGTGAGCTGACTTTGAGGAAGGAAACATTTGGTGGCTACAGCTCTAGGCAGGAGTCGAAGGAGACTTTTTACTGTGTTACCTTTGATACCTTTTCAGCATTCCAACATGTGAGTTTATAGCTTATTAAAGAAGACCCTTACTATCTTGAGGGACACAGACACCCTAAAATACCACTGGCACAGCCCCCTGGAAAGCTAATACATATTAATAAAGATTCTTACAAATGGGCCGGTGCAGCAGCTCATGGCCTGCAATCCTAGCAAAGGAGGCCAAGAGCAGGAGATCCCTTGAGCTTAGGAGTTGAAACCAGCCTGAGTAAGAGAGAGAGCCCATCTTTACTAAAAATAGAAAAACTAGCTGGGCGTTATGGCAAGCACCTATAGTCCCAGCTACTTGGAGGCTGAGGCAGGAGGATAACTTAATCCTAGGAGATTTCAGGTAGCTGTGAGCTAGGTGGACCTCACAGTTCTCTAGCCTGGGGAACAGAGTGAAACGGTCTCAAAATCCCCAAAAACAAAACAACCAAAATGAAACTAAAAAAAGATTCTTGCAAATTATCCTGGCTCTTGGATCAGAGCATTTCATTTTGGAAAAGCTATCCTAATAGAATAATCTTAACTACAATGAAAGCTTCTTATATAAGACTATTCATCATCTCAATGTAATTTATTATAGTGAAAAATCTAAATGGAATAATAAGGGGTAAGAAAACAGTGAAATGTCTGCAGCCATTTAAAACTGTGCTTACAAGGAGTTCAGAATAACACAGAAACATTATCTGTTATATTGTCAAGAAAAATATAAAGTAAACAAAAAAATGCACAGAAATAAAAAGGATCAGTCTTCCATTTCTAGGAATATCATGGGAAGGTTTTTGTTTTGTTTTGTTTTTGAGACGGTTTTTGCTCTGCTGGCCAGGCTAGAGTGCACAAGGTCATGGTTCACAGCAACCTCCGACCCCTGGACTCCAGTGATCCTCCCAAACAGCCTCCTGTAGGCGCATTCAGCTAATTTTTCTACTTTTTGTACAGATGAGGCCTCGTTCTTGCTCAGGCCAGTCTCAAACTCCTAGCCTCAAGCAATTTGCCTGTGTAGGTCTCCCAGCATGCTAGGATTACAGATGTAAACCACCACACTCAGCCTAATTTGTGAAGAAAAAAAAATGTAGAGATGAGGTCTCAGTGTATTGCCCACGCTGATCTTTTTTTTTTTTTTTTTTTTAATTTGAGACAGCGTTTCACTATGTTGCCCTGGGTAAAGTGCCATAGCATCACAGCTCATGGCAACCTCAAACTCTTAGGCTTAAGCGATTCTCTTGCCTCAGCCTCCCAAGTAACTAGGACTACAGGCGCCCACTACAATGCCTGGCTATTTTTTTGTTATAGTTGTCATTGTTGTTTGGCAGGCCCTGGCCAGGTTCGAACCCACCAGCTCCAGTGTATGTGGCCAGCACCAAGCCATCCCACACTGATCTTAAATTCTTGGGCTCAAGCAATCCTCCTATCTTGGCCTCCCAAAGTGCTGGGATTATAGGCATGAGCCTCTGCACTGGCTGGATTTGGAAGGTTTAAACAATAGTCCTATCCAATGTGAACTCATCAACCTGTATGGAACTTGGTATCCACCAAATACAGATTAATTGTGTAAAACTTCTGGGGTCCCTCTTTCCCAAACAAGGAATCGTCTGATCCCCGACCCTGCCTGTCCCTCGGCATTTTAGGAGACCGGCAGCCAAAGGAGAATATTACAGAGCCTTGGGTTTGCCTACACGAGCGGTGGTAGGGAACACACCTAGTTCTGGGGAGGTTTCCAGGGGCACCCCACTAGTGCTCAATGAACAGGGGCCCTGCTCTTTCCACCCAGGAAATCTCTGCATACATTCTGTATAACACACCTTCCATCCAGCCCCAAATGAGATGGATATGTTAGTCCCAGTATGACCCTCTTGAGGTACGGGTTGCCCAAACAAAAGCTTCTTAGAAATGTGACTTTCTCCTTTAGTCCCTAGCCTGACTAAAATTAGTTTAAGTCTGCAGGCCTTAAATTAAATGCAGAACTGAACTGATTATGTAGCAATTTGAACAAGGGAGCAAGTGTGCCTGAAATGGAAGAAAGTTCTGGGCTGTATAATTTGAAAGGTCAGGTGGCCTCAGAGAAGGCTGAGGCCTAGGATCTCTCCAGGAAGTCCCCAGGCCTCTGGCCCACCAGGCCACACCCCCCTCTGCCCTCAGCATGTGCCTTACTAGCGCCATGCCCCTGCCCTCCACTCCCTTCAAGGGGCAGGGTGCCCCCAACCTGCTCCCTAGGAGAGGCCCCTCATTTGGATGGAAAAGCTACCCTCTTCCCACCCACCAGCTTCAAATCAGAGCAGAACAGGGAGCCCTCTGCCTCCAGCGGACAACCACAGAGGCACAGCTGTGGCCAGGGCCATGGGGCTCTTCTGGTGGCTTACTTGGGTTTCCTGACGTCTGTCATCTTGGTGTGTTCCCCAAACTCCCGTTTCAGAAACTCCTCCAAAGGTCCTGACTCGTAGGGTCTTGAGCCCCGGAACACCTCGTCCTTCATGCGAAAGTACACGCCGCGCATGTACGCCATGGACTTACCTAGGGACAAGGGGTCGGAAGTGGGGAGACACAAGGGCCACAGAAAGGTCTCCCACGGGAAAAGGACACCCCTGACAGAGGGCCTGAGCTCTCACCATCTGTGGGGATGAGAGGCCAGCAGCTGGCAGGAAGAAAGGGGTGCACTTATCAAGGGACTTAGCAAGTTAGACCTCTGGATCCTTCCTTTGCAACTTCTCCCAAAGGCAGAAATGCAGCCCCACGACCCTACGCTTAATTCTGTTTTCACAATTTTAAATTATTTTTTCTTAGAGAAGGGCCCTGAATCGCTTCTCATAAAAGCTAGATCTATCCTATTTGTCATAGAAAAGGAAGAGCCTTGTCCTCTGAGCCTCCAGAATAGGCAGGGCCAAGGGACAGGTACACCTCGCAGGGAGGAGAAACTGCCCCACTTTCCTCGAGAGGCCATGGCCAGGCCAGGGGCAGGTAAGCAGAGGATGCAGGAGGTAACTAGGCAACTTCTCAAATCTCTGCCCTTCTCAAACTCCAACATCTACAGCCCCACAAAGGGCCTACAACCTTCACCTACCCCATGGCCCCCTCTTTGCAAGACTGAACAGGAACTTGGCCCTTCTGAGGGCAGATCTCAAGCCCGCCCCTTCCTGTCGCCCAGGGGCTGCCCTCACTGTGCAGAATGGCCAGGGCCAGGATGCCCCCTGTGCTGGTCCCTGCCACCCAGTCGAAGAGGTCCTTGATGGGCACACCCGAGGCCTTCTCAATGGCGATGAGGAGCTGGATGATGACAAGGCCTTTCACGCCCCCTCCATCCAGGCAGAGCAAGTGATCATGACTGCAGTGGGGACAGCAGGAGAAAGGGTACTATCACAGCCTGGCACTTTGCATCTATACTGTCAGCTGTCACCCTGAGCATCTGTGCCCTGGTGGGCTGACCCCAGGAGCGGCCTTGCTATTGGGGTGGCAGAGGGTAGGGGGCAGGAAAGGAACAAATGTCTAGTCTTTCAGAGGGAGTGAGGCAGGGATGGCCTCAGTGATGGGGGTCAGCTCCACTCTGGACAGAAAGCTCCCTGAGGCTAGTGACCTGATTCTAGTCAGTACCAGACCTGGCTCAAAGCGGCTGCCTGATAAAGTCTGTGTGAATTAAAAAGGCTGGGGGAGAAAGGGCTGGGACCCCACAGCTGGGCCAGGAACCAAGTTGTGAGGGGGAGTCAGGGCCCTCTCCCTGGGTGGGGGGCAGGGTGTGTCCCAAACCTCATTGAGGAACACCCTCCGGATCATCCTTGTGCATGAGTTTGAGTGGAAGAAGCAATGAAGCTCAGCAATTAGGTGATGGGCACAAAGTCACCCAGGTGACGGCTGGACCCGGGGCTGCTACCTACTGAGCCACGTGCTCTTCCCGCCCTGACACGTCTCCCCACTTTTGGCCCAACCCAGTCCCCGAGGTGGCAGAGTATGCAAGGCACCCACCCTCACAGGCTGTGCCCTAGGGGAACACCTCATCGGTCTGCTTAGGCTGGAACCTCTCTCTGCGCTTCTTGCCATCTCAGCTGAGTGTCACTGCCTAAGATAGGCCTGTCCTGACACTGTCCGGACCCCAAGCACAGCCTGCCCCACTGCAGCACTTTCTGATGCTGGGCACCCCACTCAACTTCCTTCTCTGTTCCCTCCATCACCCACTGGCCTGGAAGCCCCCTGAGGACAGGGACTGCCCTGTGCAGTGCTGCGTGTCCAGCAGATACTCGAGGTGCCTGATGGAGAATTGGTAAACTAAGAAGGCCTTTGTGCTCCACCTCCACGAGTCTGTCCCTGGCCAGGTACCCAGCCCAGAGCGTGGCAATGAGGCCCACTATCTGGAGGTCTGGAAAGCACGTGGCCCGGGAGGCCGTGGCAGACAAGCAAGCCTGTCCTGAAAATGTGGGGCTGGCGACAGAACAACCCGGAGGGTGCAGGGCTGAGCTGTAGCTCACAGAGCCATGGGGAGGATCACCTGGGATTTCCTGACTATCACCTCAGCTCCACCTCCAGGGAGGGAGTTCAGGCCCATGAGGCCGCCCCTGCTTCACTGGAGAATCTGTTTCTCCTCTATGGCAAGGAAATACCAATTGCCTTCAGATGTAGCTGCCCTTCGTGGGCCCCTTCGTGGAAAGTGTGTGTGTGAGTGTGAGCTCATGAATGCAAGGGGCACAGTGGGAGGGAAGGGCAAGAATGCTGATGGGGCGGGTGACACTATCCCCACTCCACTTACGTCCGCTTCTCGTCCCGCATGGAATTCAGGATGAATGCTGGCTTCCGGGCCCGGGAGATGTGCAAGAGATCCTGTAGTTCTGTGAGGCACAGGGCAGGTGTGCTGGGGCCAGGTAGACTCTGACCCCGCCACCCGTGGGTCCCTAGAGCTGGTGTGGAATTGGACCCCCACCCACCAGCTGTGCTCCCTTCCCACTGCCCTGTCATCTGCCTCCTGCCCCCAGGAGGGGTTTTGTCCCAGGATAAAGCTGATCCAGAGCCACAGGCCTATCAGGGAGAAATGGGCTGTAGCAGAAAGGGGAGCCCCTGCTTTGCGAAGGGCTCCCCGCCATGCCAGTCCCAGACTCTCCTCTACGTCTCCTCCCAAAAGCCTAATGTAGGAGCACCCTGACAGGAACACCCCAACAAGAGCACTCCTGATGTAGGAGCACCCTGACACAAGAGCACTGTGACAGTAACACTCTGATGCAGGAGCACCCCTCACAGGAGCACCCTCACAGAAGAGCACCATGACAGTAACATCCTGATGCAGGAGCACCCTGACACAAGGGCACCCTGACAGGAGCACTCGTGATGCAGGAGCACCCTGACACAGGAGAATCCTGATGCAGGAGCACCACTGAGGTGTCCTGTAGTCTTCAGTTCACAAAGTGTCTTTCCATGTGTCAGAGCTGACACTTCTGTAAACCACCCCAGAGCCTAAGAATTGATTCCCCATTTACAGGTAAGGCTCAGAAAGATTCCATGATTCCTCCAAGGTTATTTAACCAGAAGGACCAAGTAAGGATGTTCCTTGGGGTTTAACTCCACAAATGAAGGGAGATGTCCCCACCACTCTTCAGATGGCCCCTGTCCTGACCTCAGGTCTGGAAATCTGCAGTGACCTCTGGGATCAGCCCACCCATCCACTCTGTCCACGTTTCCCTGTGCCCAGGCCACCCCATGCCCATCCAATCAATCCACTGCCCCTCCTAACAAGCAGCCCAGCCCCCAGGTGCCTTGCAGAGCAGTGCATGTGACTTTGACCAGGAGGGCCCTGCCACCATGCAGGGAGCCCAGAGGCATCAAGCAGGAAGGCAGCCTGCAAAGCAGTGTCTCTTCTCCCCAGGGCAAGCAGCTATAAGAATAGACAGGGGATATAGGGAGAGCAGTGGACAGAGCACCAGGTGAGGGTGTGGGGAAGGTGCATGTGCCAGACTTGCAGCTGGGGACAGGATGAGGGGAATAAGATCTACAGCTAACAGGGACATGGCAGGGCTTTGCCGCCTCTCTAGGCCAGGGTGTTACCTATCTGACGCCGTGCCCCAGGCCCACCATCCAGCCTGGCTTGGGTGACTGACTGCCTGTGAATTGAGAGACAGAGGAGGGAGGTGGAGGGGACCGTTTCTGGGAGGGGACACAGGTGGAACCAGTGGACTACCTGCAGCTGCCCCGCTGCCAGGCTCCAGGCACAGCTGCACTCTCCCGGCTGGAGGTGCTGCTCTGTGCTTCCTCAGCAGTTAAAATAAGTCTGGCTTGCCAAAGATTGGTTCCTGGCTGCCCACTGCTCAGGGAACACCCCTCCTAGATGCTTGAGGTCCCTGGGTAGGTTAGCCCACAGAAAGCTCAGGAAAGGGTCCCATCTCCTCTGGGAGACATCCCTGGGCACCGAGGATTCATCAGCACAGATGCTGGTTTCCTGGCTACATTCCAGTCTGAAAGCTACCATCAGGGCCAGGAAGGGGGCATGCAGGTCTCAGACCTGACTGAGATTCAACTAGCATGACAAAGGTGAAGCCAGAGGACAGACTCTGGCCCCCAACAGTACTCCTCACCGTCCAGCCTGACTCCCAGGAGGCAAAAAGCAATGAGCACCCACCACACGGATGACTGGAAATGCCTAGGCCTGAGACTATGTCCAGGGCACCCTCTCAGGGCCAATGGAACATGGGACATCAGCCAGGGCGCCCCCACCACCAACCTGCCTCTGGGATCTAAGGGTTGCCAACTGTTCACATACATAAACTGACAAATTCAGCCCCATCCCCTTGCTCCCTCCAACGACTTCCTCCCTGGCCTTGCTGCTTTCCCCGCAGGGACTGCTCTAATCAAGGGGCTGGAAGCAGCTGCAGAGGAGGGCGGGTGGGAGGACAGAGGCCTACCTAGGTTGTTTAGGCTGACCGGCGGGGGCTGAGCTCTGTCCAGGGAGAGGATGGGGTGATGTGATGCTGTAGAGCCCTGATCCGTGGGGACCCCTCCGGTAAAAGGGAAGCGGTACTCTGCCCCCACAGTTCTCAGCAGAGTCAAGAGTGCCTTCCTGGTGACAACTTGTCATGGTTTGGAGAAGGCGAGATGGGCACAGAATGAGAAATGGTATCAGTACTCAAGGGAGAAGCCCCTCCTTTCCACACTTGGTCCCCTAACCTCTACCTGAGTGTGTGGGGACTCGGGGGTGCCCCAGAGGGCCCAGCCCAACCAGAAAGCTTGGCTGACTCTAGCCTGTTATATTCCAAGCAGCTTCCTGGGACCAGGGGAGGTGCTAGAGCTGGCCCTGGGCTATGGGAGGAGGAGGCCAATCACCCTGCCTAGGGGACCCCTCTCTTTCCACTCCAATCAAGGAAACGGGGCCACCACTGCCACACTCAGCCACTCTCAAAAATGTTGAGTGGAGAGTTCCATGCAGGGTTCAAAAGGGAATGAGCATCCAGCCAGTGGGCACTTTCCCGCTTCAGCAGATGGGGTAACTGAAAAGCATGCCATGAGGAGTAGCGCATGCACACACACATGCACATGCATGCACACACGTGTGCCACAGGCATGTGCCCGCAGCGCCCCCCACAGCTCCCTCCAGAGGAGGCTCCAGGTGAGAAGCATGTGCTTTGTCCACACTGCGGCGAGGCTTGCTGGGTGTCTGTGTGCACAGAACACGCGTGGGGGCTGGGTGGTGCAGCGTGTGGGCTGACACCAAGGTTGCTCTTAAGAGTAGTTCCGTCAGTGAATTTCCCAGCAGCGGGGGAGAAGGGTGGCCACTGCCTGTCCCATTCCCACTCCTGCTGGGAGACTTAGTATTCTAAGGAGGGACAGGGGCTGCTAGGAAGAGGACACTGGTGAGGCAAGCCCTATGGTGGGCCCACAGCTACTGCCCAAGGTCCCTGTTCTTGGGGAAAGGAAGTTTCCTCTCTGAGGTCCAGGGGCTCCTGTCCACTCTTAGCAGGGTACAGCCAGGGACGAGCCAGCATAGAATGATGGCATCTGATGGGTGGGACTTCCTTCCTCTTTGTCCCCTGCACCCTCCACCCAACCCTACCCACTGACCCAGAGTGCAGGGCACATACGTTTGTGGATCTTGGAGGCTAAGAATGTAGGAGTCTCCCCAAAGTCATTTGGGGTGTCCACCTCTGCACCAAACACAATGAGGGCCTTGATCATCTCCATGTTGTCTTTCTGTTGGGGAAGACATGTGACAGCTCAGTCACCCACATGCTAACACAGCAGGCCCTGACCAGCACAGGGAGACACTGCGCCCTCCCGAGCCACCTGCCATTGGAAGACTGGTGCCTCTACAAAGGGGCCTGAAAGCACCCCCTAAGAAATAGCCTAAGAACCCAGCAGTAACTGGAGGCAACTTGCCCCCGCTCCGCCAGCTCCTCCTCAAGGGAAACAGTGCATCCAAGATGCCGACCAGGAGCCAGGGGGACACAGACGGTCAGCTGCTGACACCCACTATCAGGGAGAGGGTGGGTAAGGATGGCAGGGAAGGCTGTCTCCTCCACCTAGGCCAGGTGCCATCTCTGAGGGATACCGAGGACCCATCCCCCAGTGTCAGCCTTGAAGGCAGCTTCTCTTGGGGGAGCAGCCTGGATTTAAACACGGGGGGGAGGGGGAGTCGGGCTGGGCAGGGACACAGGGCATGGCATGGCTTCCCAGGACAAACCAATGAATGGGCCGCCGGGAAAGACCACCTTGGTTTTGTCACCTCCCTCTTTTTGGGCCTCATTTTTCTGCCTAGAGAATGAAGTAGTGTGTCTAGAATGGGATTTTCCAAACAGTTCTTCATGTCCCATTAGGATTCACATGGGCACAGGTAAACACGCATGTTGGGTATTGTTTTTCTTTTTATGGTTGGCTCTAGATTGTCGCTTATAGCAATAACAAGATATAATGTTTCCTTCAAAATCAATTTAACTAAGTTTAAAAGTAAGAAGTGATTAAGTACATAATTGTAAAGGTGGTTGATAAATATGTCAAAAACTGTGAAGGTGGAATGCAAATGACCCCCCATGCAGGAAACAAAGAACAATGTGGGCCCCTGTGACCACAACCACAGGAGACCCTCTCAGAGGATCTGTGAGGTCAAAACCATTTTCATAAAAACACCAAGGTGCTAACTGCCTCCTGCACAGGTTGACATTTGCACTGAGGGCACAAAAACAATGGTGGATAAAACTGCTAGTGCCTTAGCACTAATCAAAGCAGTGGCACCAAAATAACAGTTGTCACACTTTTCTTCAGAGCATGCAGAATAGTTAAAAAAGAAAAAGCCAGTTTCACTTAAGAACGCCCTTGATGAAGTAGTAAGGAGCATAGATGTTATTAAAATTTGACACATGTGTGTTATGGAGAGTATGCATGAAGCCTGTCTTTCTTTCTCTTTTTCTCTTGCTTTCTTTCTTTTTCTTATTTATTTATTTTTTTGAGACAGAGTCTCAAGCTGTCACCCTGGGTAGAGTGCTGTGGCAT